AAGTTCGATATTTAAGAGCATGAGAGCTGGCATTCTTCATCTGCTAGAAATGCAAACCCAAAAGTTAATATAAATATAAATGCACATGGATATACTGAAACAATGAATAAAAATTATTGTCATTTGTGGAATTGTCACAAGGAGTTTAAATTGGAATGACACTTTAAAAACACAGTTTAACCTCTTTGTTTTTATAGACAGGACAAACTGAGGTAAAAAAATGGAAGAGTTTTGTAATGAAGATCACATAGTTAAAAGGTTTCTGAGTTCTTAATCCTTTTATCTTTAACTTTTTGGCCTCGTAGATTCAGTATGTCTTCCCCATTCTGTTCCCATCCACTCTCCTTACAGTAACAGCTGTTGATTTTCCTCATGCTTATTTCAGATTTTCTCTCTTGGTAAGCACCCACATGGATTAACCCACAGTCACTAAATTTCCATTAAAAAAAATCTTAGTAATTATATTTCCATGACCTCATATTTCATCTCAAAAATAACTTAATCCTTCCCTGATCAACTTCAGCATTTCCACAACCCTGAAGTATTATTAACAATGAAAAAAATGTGGGGCTCTTTCCTTCTCTTTCTACTCAACAGAAAAACCTGGCCAGAGTACAATCAACTCTGCTGAACTCGGCACCAGTGACAGCATTAAAGCCTTATGTTTTATGAACTAACAAAGGTCGAAATGGATTTCTGTCTGACATGCCAGGCTTTTAAGTCTTGTACCTCTGCCCAGTCCGGGGATTTCTGAAATCATGAATAAAGTGATAATTGATATTCTGAATACTTAGTTCAAGTTAACTAACAAATAGAAAATAAAGAGAAAGATTTGTATTCTCATTCTTTCCAGGAAAGGTGTATTTCTAAGTATCAAAAAGGCAAATGTAAAACTACCTTAAGATAGACCAATAAAAATTAAGTGTAAAATTGGGAAAATAACATTAAGTGTTCCCTGCAGGTAGTAAGGCATTCCTCTGCCTTCACATAAGATCTGATGGAGATCTGAAAAGACAGGGTAATGGTGGCATAGTTCAATAGTGATTAATTTTATAAAACACATAGAATGGGAATGACTGTATAAAATACAATCAGAATGAAGAATAGTGTGAAACAGAAAGTATACAAATTTTGTATGCAAACCAACATAAAATTAAAATTAAAAATTTTTAAAAGAATCACAATGGCAGTAACATCAAGTTACCCAGCTTTACCGATGGAAGAAGGAAAAAGACATCAATAATTTGTTTTGAGTTTTTCAAACTGCTTTCTCCTGTCCCTCAATGGGAATCACAATTAGAAGGAAAATTTCTAAAGGAAAAGAAGTTCAGAGGTACCCTCTTCATAGTTTTCTGAGCAATATTCTGTTGATTTATATATTTGAAGTAGTCAAGAGCTCACAGAGGCTCATTTTCTCAAAGAAAATACTAAAATGTTGCTTAGGTGATCCTAGAATCTGGAGCTTTTAAGATCATGGTGAATTTCTAAGTGTTCTGTAAATTAGATGAGCCTATCTTCCCTCATAGGGTCGCTATGACTCGCAAGCGACTCGATGGCACATAACAACAACAACAATCTTCCCTTAATCTCTTTTATTCCCTGTTGCCAAATAGCCCAGAATTCACATCATCTAGCAGAGCTCCACCCTGGTAGCCTTGCCCATTTTCCATCTGTCAGTCTCCTTCCTTCAGTTTTAACTTTTAGAGAACTCCCTTGTGGAATGTATTCTATTATAGCACAATCTTCCAGTTTGCTATACAGTTGAACATTTCTGTTTACCTCAAAAACCAATTTGGTGACCCAGATTTGTTAAACCCAGAATAAGTCTCAAGTATAATCTAATTTCTCTATTGAATTTCCTTGCTCTTTGGACTCCTTTCATAACTGATATTGGTGCTATTAATGTAATGCTCATAACTGCTGAAACAGTAGCAATAGATGGATATTCTGTAGCATTCTATATGAAGGATGACTGAGCAAGTGAAAGTGGTAAGTTTACACTGGGAAAGGTAGGGTAATCTGAAGACTCTGAAGCTGATTCTATTTCCTTATCTAATAGCCATGTTGTCTTAAATATTCTTGAGAAAGAAAGGCACTACTATTTGACTCTTTCCAAACTGCCTAGTCATTGTCAATGAAATTCTGGACTTTGCACTTGTCTATATAAGAAAGTGGCAAAGACAATGGACCTATATGTGAGATACACAGCATGTTTTTAGGGATATCAAATGTAGCTGATTCCTTGGTGTCTTCAAATACTGAAAGAAAAAAAATATTTCATTTTATGTTCTGATTAATAGGAATACATCACTATTCTGATTGGTATGCCAAGGGTTCTTTATAGATTCTTCCATACTAAGATAGATGTCAGTACGTTTCTGGTAAAAGACACACTCTACATACTTGTCCCTTTTAGGGATATTTAAGAATTTTACAGAAATCAAAGAGTACCAGAGAGATACCAATTTTTGTTTCATTGACTTTGCAAAGGCATTTCACTGTGTGGATCACAACAAATTGTGGTTAACCTTGAGGAGAATGGGAATCCCAGAACACTTGATTGTCCTTATGCAAAACCTATGCTTGGACCAGAAATCAGTCCTCAAAACAGAGCAGGGAAATACTGCATGGTCCAAAATCAGGAAGGGAGTGTGTAAGGTATGCATTCTGTCTCCATCCCTTTTCAATCTCTATGCAGAACAGATCATTCAGGAGGCTGGATTTTATGAGGAGGAATGTGGCATCAGGATTGGAGGAAGACTTATCAATAACATGCATTATGCATTTGACACAACCTTGCTTGCTGAAACTGAGGTGGACCTGAAGCTCTTGTTGCAGAAGACTGAAGAATGTGGTCTTCAATATGGATTGAAGCTCAACATCAGAAAGACAAATATTCTTACCACTGGGCCAATTTGGTAGCATCATGATGGATGGAGAACAGATTGAGGTTGTTAACAGTTACAGCTTGCTCGGCTCCACAATCAACACTCTTGGCACCAGCAGCCAAGAAATCAAAAGACAAATTGCATTAGGTAAATCTGCTGTCAGGGATCTTTCCAGAATACTGAGAAGCAATGATGTCAGTCTAGAGACTAAGGTGTACCTGATATAGGCCACAGTCTTTGCAATTCCTTGCTATGCGTTGGAGAGCTGGACAGTGACTAAGGATGACAGAAGAATCAATGCCTTTGTGTTGTGGTACTGGAGAAGAGTCTTGAACCATGGACTGCCAAGAAAACAAATAGGTCTGTCTTGATGAAGGTGAAACCAAGTTTCTGCTTGAAGGCTTAATTTTGAAGCTCTGTCTCACATACTTTGGACATGTGGCCAGGAGGGACCAATCCTTGGATCATGATTGGAAGGGTAGAGGGACAGCGAAGGAGAGGAAGACTCCAGATGAGATGGACTGATACAGCAACTAGGGCAATGCGGATAGGTGGATTGGAGGCAGTGAAACTGGATCAGAACAGGACAGGCTTCAGACCTGTTGTACATAGGGTCGCTTTGAGTCACAGGAGACTCGACGACCTGTAACAACAACAACAACAACAACAACAACTATCTGACATCAGCAGTGAATGATATCTCTGTTGCCTTTTCTGAATCCAACTTAAATTTTTATCCTCTCTTCCAGCCACTTAGTAAATTTTTATATATTTTTATACTAGTTTATTTACAAAATTAAAATACATTGTTTTCACACCAGATCCTTCCCATTTTCCTCACCCCCAACCCCTTCACCCATCTGCTTCCACCCTTCCTTCCAGTTGGATCTTCATACTCCTTCTAAAATAATGGTTTTATATAGTATTTGTCCTTGTGAGACAGAGTTCACTCAGCAGAATGCTCTTCAGTCCCTCTCAAGTTAGGTAATAATTTTTATACTGATTTACATACAAAGTTCGTATACTTTGTTTTTCATACTGAACCTTTCACTTTTAATTTACCAATCCTTCTCTCAGCCCATCAAATTCTGCAACCCTCTTCCATTAATTTTGAAATAAGATTTTCCTTGCAAGTGATATTAATGATATTGTTCAATAATTTTCACTTTCTGTTGGATAATTTTTTTTGGAATTGGAATAAATATGGATCTTTTCCAGTTATTTGACAGGTAGTTGTCTTTCACAGTTGTCAGATATTATTGAACATGTCTGTGCTGCATTTGCTTTCTGAAACATCTTATTTGGTATTCCATAAGTTCCTGAGCCCTTATATTTTGGCAGCCACTGAGCCAATTGCAGCATAATGATAGATGACGATTGAAATGTTAACAGCTTCATTTTGCTTGGCTCTTGGTACCAACAGCTAGAAAATGAAAAGACAAATTGCATTTAGTGTAGCTTGGAATTCTTCCTTCAGTACTTTTTGGTTTTCCACTATACATTACTTCTTGAAATAGTTCAATGTTGACCACCTGTCTATCAATTTGCTGTATTATAATGGTGTATGTATTATGTAATGCTTGAAGCTTACTTACCTAAGAGGTATTAATTCAAAGAAGAAGCAGGAGCAGGATGGAGCAGGTGCAGAAACTGATGTTAAGTTAAACAATGAGAACACTTTCTTTTGGAGCTGAGATCAGGAAATTTTTGTTATGGAACAATTTCATATTTAACAAAGAGAACAAGCTCTGGATTGGAGTTTCTCTACTGCTAACCTCTCTAATATGGACATTTTCCCCCCTATAACTAGGAATTGGACTTGAATACAAGCAGGGAGGAAATGAAATCTTTTCAAGTAATTTATTTTTATTTTACTAGGACACACAGAGCCTTAAGCACCAGCTGGGACCATCCTCATTGCTTATAATCTCCCTATGGCAGCTGAAGCCAGAAATAAGCAAGCATGAAAATATGTTTCTTTAGGCTCAAAGGTTGTTGAGAGGATCTCGGTGGTGACTCTCTGCCTCTGATGTTAAAATTCTGAGTACAGAAGGTTCTCTTCCTAAAAATAAAAAAAGAAAGAAAGAAAAAAGAGTGTTAGTGATGTTTTACCTTCAGCAGCTCTCTTAAAGAAGACTTTGCAGCTTCCACAAGTGAGTGCTCCATAGTGACAGCCAGAAGCTTCATCTCCACAGATAAGGCAGGTCTTCTGAGGTGGAAAGTAATAATCGATGGGTAGAACGTGGTCCCTGGCAGTGTCCAAACTAGAAAGAGAAAATGCAACAAACATAGGTGGACAGACAAAAAAATTATAGAACAGGAGCCTGAGGTAATCAGAAGTAGAATGCATATATAAATTATTATCATTACTTGCTCAAAAATGTGAATGTGAAGGGGCATTTTCCTCAGGGGGGAAAATATAGGATTTCCTGCAAACTAGGGAGAATTTATTTTTTCAAGTTTATGGCAGAATTAGGGATCAGCCAATCTCAAATACTGACTATAAAAGGAAGGATAAAGAGTAAAAGCAGAAAATCTGGGGTTAAAGTATCTGACTTAAGGTGGTGGTTGAGCAACTTTGAAGCAATTAACTAGTATGAACCCAGTTCTACTCTTCATCCAAAGGAAGACATATGCCCAAATAAAATATAGGGAACAATTTCCTATATTTTACATCAGTTCTTTGGGCCTGTAAATTAGGGCTAATAACACAAATCCCACTTATTTTTCTCTCATGACAATATATATTAGACAATGAGTAAAGATCCTTTGAATGAAAAATTGAGCGTGCGTTCTAGAAGCCAGCCGAGGGACCTGGACCAGTGAGCAGCATCCAGATGCACACTGAAAGCTGGCTTGGGAGGCCCATGAGCAGCACCCAGATGCATGACAGGAGCTGGGCTGGGAGACCTCTGTGCAGCACTGTTACACACATTGGGAGCCAGCCCAGAAGGCCCAGAGCACCATACTCACCAGAGGGTACCCACATAACAGATGAGAGTGATTGGAGCCTGAGCCATTATGTAAGGGGTTAGTTGGAGGCCTCACCTTATGGCCCTTCATGAAGTGAAAGGGGGAAGAAAGACCAACCCACTCATCATCGATTGCCCCCAACAAAGGCCAGACAATCTTTAAGCCTTCTGGACCCTGTGCTACTGCACAGGATCTGTGGTAATCCCTGCCGCCTACACCATTATGTTCTCCTGTTTGCTTGTTCTTCTGTGTTGCTCTTGGGAGCACTGGCGGCTTAGTGGCAAGAAACTTGGCACGTGATTTGAATCCACCAGCTTCTCCAAGGAAGAAGGATGGGAAATCTCCTCCCGTGTGATTAACTGCCTCTGAAAACCCCTCAAAGGGTGATTCCAACTTTAAGGTACACAATAACAACAACAACAATATGATTTGCTCTAAAAGGCATCTGGGTGTTTCTTGTATTGGGGAAGTATCTTTGCATGTAGCTGCTCTTAATAACTTAGATATGTATATCTTTGTTTATATATCATTTGCTCTTTGGGGTATAGCACTTGTATGTCATATGTACTAAAGTGGAGCTCTCAGATTAAGACAGACTAAGCAGAAGAATAGGCCATATCTGACCCTTTGAGGGGTTTTCAGAGGCGGTTAATCACACGGGAGGAGAATTCCCATCCTTCTTCAGTAGAGCAGCTGGTGGATTCAAATCTTGTGCCCAGTTTCTTGCCACTAAGCAATCTTGAAGTGCAATGCTGTGGGTAACAGGATACTACCCATGCATGTAACAGGCGATCTTTCAAATATACCAACAACTAACAACAATGAGGAGGAAATTGAAAACTTCAACCAATTTTTGCAGTCTGAAATCAATCAAACATGCAACCAAGATTCATTAATAATAATTGGTAATTGAAATTAAAAAGTTGGGAACAAAGAGTAAGGACCAGTAGTTATAAAACATGGGCTTGGTGACAGAAATGAAGCTGGCTAGAGAATGATAGAATTTTTTTCAAATTAGTAGAATTTTATTACAAGAATCAGATGCATTTTGAAATCAGATGCATAGGATTTGACCAGCCTCTTTTCTGTAGGTGGAAAACTCCTAGCTATCATTTATCAGCCTGCTGGACAGTTCCTTTTTAGGAGACATAGATACCATCCAAAATTTTTCTGATATCCTTAACTGTTGTACCTTGCTGAATCAAAGCAGCTGACGTTGATACAAGCTCAATGTCATTTCCTTCAAGAATTAACTCATCTTTCTGGGCTTGAGATACTGAAAAAGCAACAACTGGCCTCATTCAAACTCTCCAAATGTATTTTTCACCCAAGAAGTTTCCAATTTCAACCAGAGATCCACTCTCTTGAATCACAACGTTGATGGGGAAATGAGCATAAACAGACTTCATCTTGTACCGAAAGCCCAGTTTAACACCCTTGATCATGTACTGTACATGGCTACAGATGGTGTGAACAGTAGCCAGTTCCTTCCTGTTTCCCCACCATTTGTCCATAAGAAGCCTCTTCTTTTTCTTTCCGAGTAGACTAAGCTCTACATTGATGTGATTGAAGTCCCTCTGCAAGGTTCCCCGTGGGCCTTTCACGATACCTGTGTGGTCCATCAGAGTAATTTCTACATTCTCTGGAATGTCGACAGTCTGGTTGCTCAGAATGGTCTTCATTCTCACAGTTAATGTGTCAAAAATCAAGAATGATAGAATTTTATACAATCAATGATTTATTCCCCACAAAGAACTTTTATTAAAAAACACAATAGGTGATTATACGCATGAATCTCACTCAGGATGGACCGCACAGGAATCAGATTTATTACATCTGTAGAAAGAATCATTGGAGTAGCTCAATATCAGCTGTAAAAGCCAGGCCAGGTACTGACTGTGGAACAGCCCATAAACTACTCACATAAAGTTCAAACTGAAGCTAAAGAAATTAACACATATCTAAAAGAACCAAAATATAACCTTGAGTCTAACCTAACCCACATGAATGTAAAAAAATATTTCTAGAACAAGTTTGAGATATTGAACGCTAATAAATGAGGACCAGAGAAGCTGAAGTATATAAGAACTATAATTCATGAAGAAAGGAAAAGATCATCACAAAAAGAGAAGAGGAAGAAAAGACCAAAATAGACTTCAGAAGAGACTTTAAATATTGCACTAGAATGCTGAGAAGTGAAAACAAGGGGTAGAAACCACAAAGTTAAAGAGTTGAACAGGAGATTTCAAAAGGCAGCTTGTGAAGACAAAACAACATATTATAATGAAATGTGTCAAAATGGAGTCAGAAAATTAATAAGGTAATAAATTGCTCTGCATTTCTCAAGCTGAAGGAACTGAAGAACAAATTCAAGCCTTGGGTTACAATACTGATAGATGCTATGGGCAAAATCTTAAGTGATGTAGGAAGCATCAAAAGAAGGTAGAAGGAATACGTGAAATCATTGCACTAAAAATAATTGACTGACACAGAACCATACTAGGAATTAACAGAATCAAGAGTAGATGGTAATATAGTAGGAAATTCAAGCTCCTCTGAAGGAAATGGCAAAAAATTAAGGACCCAGCAATTGATGGAATACCAACTGAAACATTCCAACAAACAGATGCAGCCCTCAGATGTGCTCACCAGGTTGTGCCAAGAAACATGGAGGCCAACTAATTGACCTACTGACAGGAGGAGATTAATATTTATTCTAATTCCCCAAAAAGGTGATCCAAAAAAATAGAGAATGTGGAAATTATCGAACATTATGATTACTATCACATTCAAGAAAAATCTTGCTGAAGATTATCCAAAAACAGTAAGAACAGTACATCAGCAGAAAACTGCCAGAAACTCAAGTTGAGATTATAAAATGTCCATGGAACTAGGTATATAATTGTTGATGCCAGATAGATCTTGGCTGAAAGCAGAGAATAGCAGAAGGATGTCTATTTGTGTTTAACTGACTTTGCAAAGACATTTGACCTTGTGGATCATAAAAAAAATTGTGTTTAAAACAGAGAAGACTAGAAGAATGGGAAACATAGATAACTTGATCGTGCTCATGTAATACCCACACACACAAAAAAAGCTATTGTCCAAACAGAGCAAGGGAAAACTGCATGATTCAAAATCAAGGAAGGAGTACTGCAGGAATATATCTTTTCTCCATGTCTTTTCTGTCTATATGTTAAATAGATCATTCAAGAGGTTGGACTTTATAAAGAAGATTTTGGCAACAGGAGCAAAGAAATACTCATTAATAACTTGCATTATGCAGATGACACAGCCTTGCTCGATGAAACTGGGGAGGACTTGAAGTATTTGCTGCAGGCCAAGGACTGTAGCCTTCACTATGGATTGCATCTCAACATCAAGAAAACAAAGCACTACCAGGCCAATAGATAACACCATGATAGATGGAGTAAAGATTGATGTTGTTAATTATTTCCTTTTTCTTGGTTCCACAATCGACACCCTTGGCACCAGCAGTCAGGAAATAAAAAGATGAGTTGCATTGAAAAAAATGTGCTGTCAAGAACCTCTCCAGAGTTCAAAAAAGAGATTAAGGTATCCAGGCCATGATCTTCTCAATTGCTTGCTCTGCATCTGAGTGCTGGACAATGAATAAGGATGACAGAAATATTAATACCTTTGAGTTGTGGTGCTGGAGAAGGATATTAAACATATCATGTACTGCCAAGAGTACAAACAGATTTATCCTTGAAAAAGTGAAACCAAGTTGCTCCTTGGAGGCAAGGATTTTGAAGCTCAGTCTCACATAATCTGGGCATACTTAGAAGGATATAGGGTCAGCACCACAGTGACTATAGCAGTGGGGTTAGAGGTATTAGAGACAGGTTGAGGATAAGACAAGATTCAGAGCCATTTTTTTCATAGAGTCACTATGAATCATAGTTGATGGCACTTAACAACAACTATGTATTATTAACA